ATAGATAGATAGATTAAGAAAATTTAGCGGGGAAAATTTTATTTTCACCCATTATTTGTGTTTTCACATTATCATTTAATACTTCATTATAATTAGTTGATTAATATATCATTTCATCTTATTCTATCAATGATAATTAAAATGATTTGATCGAAATATTTGGTTTGATAAATATTTTCCATCTAACATTTGTGTCTCCACAGTGCAATAATACTAGTATTCTGTTGTCATTCACTGCAACTACTTTACGAAGGAAAAATGTTAATGTCCTTAATAGTATACACAATATGGAGAGCCATCTGCATCTCTTCCGCTTTGGAAATTCTTTTCTGAATAACCTTATTGGAGCAAAAGCGCCCTTTGCTGGAATAAGTAGGATACTGTCCCGGCACACACAAGTCGCATTCAATTGCGATTTATAATGTATTCGTAAATTGCGACTTATAAATCATAGCAACTGCGATTATAAATAACTCACCTTTAATTGCGGCATTCAGTGATTGTAATTTGTAAATCGTATTCACCGATTGCAATTTTTGAGTCGAATTTGTTAATTGCGTTTTATACACTATCAAGCAGAATAAGCTAGAGGAGTGATTATTTCGCTTTGGAAGGGCCGCATTCAACCTATAGCGATTTACAAGTCACGTTCTTCAACTGCGATTTATATTCATCAAATGTATTTGTTACATGAACGTATTCCCATCAAAAGGAATACTACATGTAAATCACATTCATTAAATATGAATTGTAATCACGTATGTCAAGTGACTTAAATAAATGCCAATCGCATTAATCTAATGTGACTTATAAGATAAATGCAGCTTATGCACCACCCCTTTGCTGGATCTACCTCACATCGTTTCTTGAGTCAATGTCAAGTGACAACTGAATGCTAGAATACTAGTAGTATTATTCATACTAGTATTCCATATAACGTTGGTGTCTGGTGCCAAAGCTTCTCTCATGTCACCGTACCATATTAGATAGTACATGGTTTTGTCTTTGAATATTAAACTCTCAATTGTGAAACTTAATTATGATTTTATCAATCTTATCATGTGTAATGTTGTCATATTGTAATATTGCCTGCATTGTATTTGAAAAGTGCAAATTAAAAACATGGTATATCCAACATAAATTACATGGATAGAGTTAAACTTGATCACTCAAAAAGTTGTGGATATTTGTCCTTTTCATTTTTATTTTGATGCTTTAAAGATCATCGAAAATAATAAAGTGAGTGATGAGTTCACATAGTATTAATTAGCCAAATCATTTTATCCAAAGGGAAAAATTTAGCTACGCTGAATTATTAACCTTAAGAGGGTTTTGTCAAACACAAAAGGAATAAAAAAGGCAAGAGCAAACAAATAGGAGTAATTTTTATCACTTAACAATAATAGTTTCTAGTAATTCAATTTTTTTATGAATAAAAATAAGAGTAACAACAGGACAAAGGAGGGTCTCAAACTCCAATAAACTAGCAGTGATGAAGCTAAACATAGATTCCCTACTGCCTGTTCAATCAGCTGCTCTCCTGAAAATCAGAGATTATTAGGTAAAAAAAGGATATGTGGAGACAATTACGAAAATTTAGCTGCAGTTCCAGTGCGAAAGAGAAGAAATGGGATGCTCTGATCATCGGCGGTGGCCACAACGGCCTTACATCAGCCGCATATCTTGCTCGCTCCGGTCTCTCCGTTGCCGTTCTCGAGAGGCGTCACATCATCGGCGGTGCTGCTGTCACTGAAGAACTCATTCCTGGTTTCAAGTTTTCTCGTTGTAGTTACCTCCAAAGCCTCCTTAGACCCTGCGTTATTAAGTGAGACACCAAATTACTCACTACGAAAATCATTTACTTATGGTAGTCATTTATTTATCGGGAATGTGTTATGATTAATAGAGAATTGGAGCTGAAGAGACATGGATTGAAGCTATTAAAGAGGAACCCTTCATCATTCACGCCTTGTCGTGACGGACGCTATCTTCTGCTTGGTCCTGATAAGGAGCTTAACTCCTATGAGATTTCGAAGTTTTCTAAATCTGATGCAGATGCTTACTCAAGGTTCTGTGTTTTCTTATACTTCAATTAAGGTGGTTTACATTTTAACTTCAATGACAATTTCTGTTAATTTTGTTTGCTGCAATCAAAAAAAAGGGGGAAAAGAGGAGCTTGTGCCTTTTAAGAGTTTGCTTGTTAAATTACCGTGTTTACTAACAAGACAGTTGTACTTTGAACTTTTCATTCAGTTGGAAAAAGCATTGTATTTTGTTAAGGTGATTTAAATGCTACAGGACTAGTAGGAACTAGACTATAAGATGAAGGAGAGAGAGAGAGAGCCAACCATATGATTAACTCATATACATCATTGAGAATGCTTTGGTGAAGCTCATATTACGACTTTGATTGGGAGGATAAGGCCGGGTAGGTTGAGTCCAAATCTCTGGAATAAGGTTCGCTGTCCTTTACATTGAAGTTTAATGTGTCCGTAGTTCTTGAAGCTTTCACCACTACAGATATCCTTGTCGACAAAGATAGCATTAGCAAGATTGACCTACTCAAGACGGAGAACGATTGGGTGCTTCCTATGCTAACTTAAAGGCCAGAAATGAATAAATTCCCTGCCGAAATTTTCAGGCATGGGACTAGAGGATAATTTAGGAATTTGAGGGTTGGGCTTGCTTAGCACCCTAAAGATTGTACAGGAATTCATATATTAGTTCTTCTTGCTTACCATTGTATCTATTATTATCATATTCTAAATATTGAGTTACCAAGTGTCACCTAATTATAGGTATGAGAGTCAACTAGACAAGTTCTGCGAATTTTTGGACCCGCTTCTGGATTCGTCTACACCGGAAACTCTACAAGGCTCTTCACATCTCAATACTCGTATGAAGCACAAATTGCAAAATTCAGCATTTTGGGCTAATTGTCTGCGTCGAGCACTCCACTTGGGACAAAAGGATCTAGTGTAAGATGTTCTAGATGGTCATGTTTGTCTAATTTCACAGAACTTATTGTGTCATCAGTTGGACAGTCTAGGACAACATCTACTGTAAAATAGTATGAAGTCTTGGCTTCAACTGTCATAGTCCATCCTTGTTAACTTGTTTCAGCTGAACTTTTCAGGGATTTGATGGACCTTTTATTCGCCCCAGCTTCGAAGGTTCTGAATAACTGGTTTGAGGTTGTTACATCTGTTTACTTTTTTCTTTTATTTATCTTTTACTCATTCTATCAGTCTTCATAAAATTATTCTGTCTGATGTGTAAATTTGTCTAGTCCTGGGCAGCTAAATGTGTTAGATTAGTGTGGTTTTGTAAATATTTACTTTATTGATTAATAAAGTTGTTTAATTACCCAAAAAAAAAAGATGTGTAAATTTGTCTAAAGGTTCAAGATTGTTACCCAATCTATGCTTTATCATTAATTTTGTCTTTGTATTCTTTTGTCCTTAGGTAGTGTGAGAATCCTTTGATGAGTGTATTCTAAATTGGGCTTCTAATTTTGAAGGCTAGTTGTTATTGTAGTATAATCTTTTCTCTTGGTTTGCATCTCCAAGCTTTTCCATTTCAATTGTCTCCTTTATCATTTTGGTTTTTGGCACACTTGTCTTACACTAGATCAGAAGTAGCTCAATTTGCCCTTAATGGAGATGGAAAGGATGTTTTTAATAAATTTTCGTGACGGTAGTGTCCGGGCCAGCTTGCACGTACCTCGACTATCCCATTAGGTACATGCTACCTCTCACCATCACAAGTACAAGATAACTCTGCTTACCAATGTTTAGACAGATAAGAAGAAATTACCTAGTATTTTTGTCTCAGCTGAAATTTCAACACTGGTCTCCAAGGTTTACACCCACTTTATTGACCATTAGATGACCCTTGTGGGTGCTTGTTGCAATATCTTGTTACTCTTGTCTTCTTTGTCAACTGATATTCATTTATTCTTTCCTCAATCGACTATTAATGTCTTCTTCAACCAGGTGAAATGTGTTGTAGGGGGCTGGGGCGTAGGAGCATGAATGATATGTCTCATTAACATTTGACATAAAATTTTCCAAGTTCGAGATAAACAAAATCTTTGGAATGAACAAGAATTTCAATGTATAAGAATCACTTTCTTCTACTGTATGTAGTAATTAATTGTCTTGATGTACTGGAAGCTGCTACTGCATGTGATCGTGCTGTGTAATTCTTGTTATGAAGTGTGTTCTTTTAAAGATTGAGAAATTGTCACATACAAAATATATTTTGAAGAATTCTCTTACCTCTTACTCTCCTCTCCTAGTATCACTAGCTTACTAATTGCTTGACTGAAATATCACAGACTGATGTTCTGAAAGCAACTCTTGCAACTGATGCAGTGATAGGGACTACGGTAAGCTTTTTTGGCTTGTGTTGTTCTCAAAATGTATCCAATTATGCATGGAGGTGCAGTCAATTGCTATGTGCATGGCTTGCATATATAAGGAGTAGTAATGTATATCTTGGATCTAAGTTGCGAGAACCAACAATATGATTGGGCATTTCAGAAAAGTAAAAGTTTAGCTATTATCCGTACGATCTATTTAGTGACAACGATTGAGTGACTTAAGTGAAATATGTGCTTAGTCATGGGATTATGTAAATTCATGTCTTTGCCGCAAATATTGGTGGTTTCACGTGGCCATGGTTTCAGAAATTTCTTTTCAGCTATACTTATATGCATATATCCACCATGTCTTTTACAAGTTTTTTTCCATCTGCATGAAGTAGGAGGCTTGAGTATCTCTTGGACCAATCTGCAACTTTTACTGAGAACACTGTAGGATTACTGAGAACACTGTAGGAACACTGTGATACAAGTTCTTTTGTATCATAAGTCGGCAAGGAAAAAAACAGATTACCTTAATCTTCCCTCAGGCTTGTCATTCTTCACATTCTCGTCAATTTAGTGTATGCCAGCTGTGTCGTGGCCAATTTCTGATTCAAGGAAATTCTGATTAATATTCTTTATCTTGTTAGTTTCAGTCTGCTTCGTACTTACTCCTCTCTCTCTTTTTCTTTTTTGTCTGTTAACTAAAATATTCATAGGCAAGTGTCCATACACCTGGAAGTGGATATGTGTTGCTACATCACGTGATGGGAGAATCTGATGGTGATCGTGGTATTTGGTCGTACGTATACAACATAGATGCAGGATTAGCTTTCTGCAAATTTTTATATCTGCATTTTTCAAGAATCATTTATTCCATTTATCTGAAGGATTCTGCTTCTGAGTAGTTGCTTTAAAGCTCCAATTATGTGATGAAATATACATCGAATTAACAAAAGTTCTGTTTCATTTGCTTTCTTGTGAAGAATGGATCTTTTCTTTGTTTTCATTCTTTTTTAAATCTGAGACCCTTTACTAACTGTCAGGCTTTTCAATGTTCTACTTTAGTCACACTAGCAGATGATTACATCTAATGAATTTTGCTAGTTGCTGTAGCTTATGAAAAAGCATTAAACTGGTCTTTCTCTTTTCCTTTTTGTGGTGCCCATTTAGTGCACTATACTTGGGTCCCTCTTTTCCATCAACTTCCTTATATCCCCAAGAAGAAGGCTTTATCTGAGCCCACATATTTGAACTAATGCTCCGTGCATTTTGACCATTTAGAGCGATGGTACATGTTCTCTTCTTCCCTCAAAAGCTTAATTAAATTACACTCAAAATATTTGACGTGATGCTGTTTTGTTTCAAATCCTGAATTGCCTTTCTAAGACAAACTGGGTGGTTTTATCATGTTGTCCTCTCTTAGCGAGTAAAATAAATGTTTTACGGCTGCTGTTACATGTAGGTATGTCGAAGGGGGAATGGGCTCGGTGTCAATGGCTATAGCTGCTGCTGCAAAGGAGGCTGGTGCAACCATATTGACAAATGCTGAAGTATGCTTTCACCCTGTTATGCGTTCACTGCTAAGAGTTTTGAGTATCTGACATGCATGAAGATGCTTTTCCAGTAAATTTGCTTTATTATTATTTTTGGGGTTTGATTTCTTTGCTTTTTGTTATTTCTAATTTGAATCTTGGGAAGTTATATGTGAATCATCGACTTATATATCTTTTATGGCGTAAATACTGGTCTCTTTCCCCTGACCTTTTTGTTATATATTAGTGAAAGTTCAGTATGATTGAAGGCATATGGCAGATTCTCTGAGCAATTGTGACTAGTTCTTTCCTCTATCTCGTTTTTAAATAAAAACAAACGAAAATTCATTAAATTATATTTTAGTTGCTGTTCCTAAAACCCCCTTGACTTCTTTTTGAAAAATCCCATTTAGTCCCCTTCCACGTGTAATTTACCCTAACATGTGAAGTAAATACTGTGAAATGAGCCATGTGCCATGCACGCTAAGCCTAGTATTTAAGTGGAGAAGGGTGTAGGGACAGACATTATCCCCGAGTTTCAAACGCTGCGGTTGGTCCTAAGTGTTGGCTCCAGATGGATTTATTAGTCATTCAAAAAAAAAAAAACACACACACACACACTAGAAGAAATGTAGATGCATCTTGCAGCTGCTAAAGGACATGATATGTCTAGCATCAGTAGAAGGTGGCGAAGCCAGGAATTTAATCAAGGGTGTTTAAACTTGAAAGAAGTGAAAAAAATCTCCGAAAAAGAGTGTTCAATATATGTTATATACCTCAAAAATGTAATATTTACCTATATACGCAGTGTAATTTTCCTACGAAGGGTGGTCAACAACATATAGCTTCGCCCATGGGCCTTTATATGAGAGACTTGTGATTCCTAAGTTCTCAACGGCCAACTTTGGTAAACCTTCATCAACCCACTTTGTCAGTAAATCCTTCTTCTGCCAGTAATTTTCTGTTTGGTGCTGTGACGTCAATTCTATCAACTTTTTACTTTGCTGTTAGCTTCTGGGTGTAATTCATCGGATTTTAGGGTTCTTCTAATATTTTGATTTCTATCTTCTAAATAGCCTTAGAAAGATTAAAAAGATGCTTATCTATTAACTATATAACTTTTAATGACATTGATTATTTATCTTGAATATGAAGAGAATATGTATGATCACACATCTAGGTTCATTGAACTTGAGTGATAAAATATTATAGAATATTTTATGACATGTTCAGGAATTATGTATGTAATTGTAAACACAGAGAATGATTACCTACCATATTCTATGTAGCCTAGAATGATTACCTACTATATTCTATGTAGCCTAAGACTCATATATAAGGAACACAACTTGTGCATTATTAATGTATCAAGTTGATAATTAGTTTTCTCTTATTTTCACAATTTACAAATACCATCTCTTTTCTATGTAGCCTAGAATGATTACCTACCATATTCTATGTAGCCGAAGACTCATATATAAGGAGCACGACTTCTACATTATTAATTTATCAAGTTAATAATTAGTTTCTCTTATTTTCACAGTTCACAAATACCATCTCTTTGGTCTTTGCCTTGATTGTATTTGAAGTTATTTCTTTTGAAGAAAATTGTCTGTTGTCCATGTAGGTCTCAAAATTGATGATTGAAGACACCGGCAGAGTTCATGGGGTTAGTTACACCAAGTTGTGTTTCCAATTTTTTACTTTTTTTCTAGGTCAAAGCTGATCTTGATGTTGCAAATTGGATGGAATTCTTTAGGTGATGCTGGAAGATGGAACCATATTGCATTCTTCTGTTGTTTTATCCAATGCAACGCCGTTCAAAACTTTCATGGTAAAATGTTGTTCCTCTTCTTTAGTTTCAAGGAATTTAGCAACAGTGGATACTATTACGAAAACATCAGAGAAAAAGGATCCTATTTTATCTCTGACTATGCTTCTCCCACAACCCAGGATCTTGTGCCAGATGATGTGCTTCCTCATGATTTTCATAATGCTATCAAGTGCTCTGATTATCGATCTGTAAGCTTGCATATGAAGTATTATTATTCAGTGATTATTCTAAGACTCGGTTGTTATGTTTTCTTTCTTATCAATGTAATATTTGAGCAATTGAAGTGTCATTGCATTTATCATCTACCGTCTAAAACGGTTCATCCTATGCCACGTATCTTGTTAAATACACATATTTATCAAACAAATCTTGAAAATTGAATTCAGCATAGACATAACAGGTTCTGACCATGTAGATAAGAGTGTAGTTATGCCGTGCTTACATGTTGAAATGATGGTTTCAAACCATTCTTCTTTCCTGTTCTTTTTTCTTTTCATTTTCTTTTCATTGATATTGGTTTCACAACTACTTAAATCTAAGGGATTCCTGATTGAAGGATCTCAGAGTTGTTTTCTTTTTTAGTCATTATTCATTTCTTTCTCTTACAAGTTTTTGGTGACGAGTCCTGCTATAGTGTTCAGAGATTTAATTCACTGGCATCAAATTCCTAGTGCATATTTGCTTTCTTTTCTCTCTTATATAAGCTTTTTAGACTTAGGTGTAGTGACTTCTTTGTACCACATGTTGTTTTCTGAAACTTCCATTCCAAACTGTGATTCATATGATTTTTGGCACCTGGATTCATCAGGAGCCTCCTATCGCCCTTCACTTTTTAAACTAAGCTAGAACGCTGGTCTGATGCATGACATATTTCATGACCATTTCTTTTTTGCAACTTTACTTCATGCCCATCTTCCTCATAGCAGTAGTTTATTAATTTTGATCTCTTCTTTATGGATTGGTAAAGTAAAAAATATTACTTTTGATCTGTTGCTTCACCTTTTTTCCCTCTGTGGCTTTCCTTGATAGTTATCTTCATCAATATTTTTGAAATGAAGTTATCTTCATCAATGTTGACATTTTAACTTTCAGTTTCCTTTTTTTCTCCCAAACCACAAGGACCTGTCTTAACTGTTCTTTCAGTAATTAGTCCTACTACAGCAATTCAGCTGTCCATGCTGGCACATCTTAAATTTTCAGCTTCGGCCTGCACTCTAAACTGACATAGATTTCTAACTTTTTATAATTTAGGGACCAACTAGAAATTTGCATTTATTTTTAGGGCAGATCTTTCCAGTTTGATATGACCTTAAGCGAAGCATTGTTAGAGAGATGCCTGATGGTCATGTACGTGTAGTAGAAGTTCCTAACTTAAAACTCTATTTCCTTGTAAGGGTCATGTCCGAGTCTGTTTACTCCTTTTGCATAAATGCTCAATCGTGAAAGTCTTAGGTTGATTCATTTGTAAAATTCCACTTGCTCTACAAAAAGTTTTATGATTGATTAATGACTTAGGCCTTAAACATTACGTGATGAAGTTTCATCTGTTGTTGTGGTCATTATATTGGACAATGTTGCATGCTTTGGTTGTTAATATTGTGTACTGAAATTTTAGGAGGTCATTGATTTCTGGAACAGACTACTACTAGAATCAATTGGCTGTTAACAGAGTGCCACAATTTTCAAAGCTGCAATTTAGGCTAAACATTGCAGGTTTTGGTTGTTAATCTTTTTTACCTATAATTTTAAGGGATCATTGTTTACTGGAACAGGCTACTACTAAAATCAATTTGGCCGTTGACAGATTACCACAGTTCCAGTGCTGCAATTTAAGTCATCCAGATGCTGGTCCACAGCATAATGGTACCATTCACATAGGACCAGAAAGGTATTCACTTTGATGTCAAATAGGGAAAAAATATCATTAGAAACAACAGACTGTAACATGCAGGACATACAAGAAGAGGCTACACTTGTTCATTAAATGAGCAAAAGCTGCAAAGCTTACTTCCATGTCAAATAGGGGGGAAATTGTCACGACCCAATCCCCGAACCCGGTCGTGATGGCGCCTCTCGTAAAGACAAGGCCAACCAGGCCAAAACGGAATACTTCTTTTAAATAGTTAATCATCATAACAGTAATAACATATAATATAATACTCATAAATTGCAGAATTTTAACGTTAACAACAGCAGGAACCATCCCGACACAGCCCAAACCGGGGTGTCACAAGTCATGAGCTACTACAGAATCTGCTATAGGTCTACAAAGTACGGAATCTGATACAACAGTCTGGAGAAAACATACATGATAGAGGGTAAGAGGGACAAGGGGCTGCGGACGTCAACAACTACCTCGTAGCTCCAAATCACTGCCTAGCCTGGACGGAATCAGCGCTCAGGTGCGGACTCTACTATACCTGAATCTGCACACACAGTGCAGGGAGTAATGTGAGTACTCCGACTCAGTGAGTAATAATTATAAATAATGGCTGAAAGTATGAAAACACGTAAAGACACAAAGCAATTCCATATTAAGCAGTAAAATCACTTAAAGCAGTAAATCAGTGAAGAATCAAATGATATTCCTTTTTAAAACAAGTAAAACAGGTAATTTAACAGGTAAATAACAAGTAGAAATCCGCCCCTCGGGCACAGTATCAATCGCTCAGCATAGTATCAGCCAATCGGGCTCACTCTCAGTA